AAATATTCATAAGGTGTTAAACGTTTTATCTTGATAATAACCCAGTACTTCTGCTAAGTGGAACATTCTGCTGCTCCCTATGACACATAGAGCATCTGTGTCACCAATATGGCCCTTTATTAAACTGGGTAGTACCACTTGCTGGAGTTCACAAAGAATCAGCAGAAAGTTTGCAGTAGATTTGGCAAAGCAAATATACTGCGGATAAACCACTGATAATTAAAAATGACAGAACTTTGCACTGTGCGTCTAATCCTGTCTAAATTAGACTAGTATTCATCATAACTGAGACAGCTAAACAGCTGCCAGGGAAAGGCAGATGTAAAATGTACAGACCAAATATATACGACTGTGTTGGATTTTTGTTTTTTTCCTGTCGAGAAATGCCGCAGAGGTAAAAATAAAGCTCGTTTAATGTGTTATGAATTTAATTTTTTTGTTATTTCCTTTCCTGAGAAAGTATTTTACTGAACCTTTAAACACAGAATTATGACCCTAAAGAGCACCGCTAACACAAAAAAATGTACTTAAGAGTAAATTTTTCCTTCATAGACTCTGGAGATTTAAAACAAACAAAAAAAATAAAAAACATGAATCCTGTTTATTCTCTGACAAGCATCCCTCTGACAAACATTTTTTATTTTCTTTGTTCAGGGCCTACAGAGATATACAAGCTTTTATTTCTTTTAAAAGTTAGTTGCACCACCTTCGATTTCTTACCCCACCTCACCTTTCCTGGCATTCTTTCTTTAGCTTTCAGGGGTCCAAGTTCACACATAAACAACATAATTTAACTTCAATCTAATCAAACTTCTGTGAAATCAAACTTTCCATTTAATAAGCAACAATGATTGACAATGATTTTCATATGCTGTTGTGCAAATGAAATAGATGACAGGTGTAAATCATTGGCAATTAGCAAAACACAATAAAGATGTGGTTCTAATTCACACTGAGCACATGCATCAGACATGACAGAGTGTGGAGACACCGTGAAGAGCGATCTGCTGCCTGCAACATGCTTCAGCATGACCAGTTTGGCAGTGTTGTGGGGGCATTTCTTTGGCTGGCCGCACGGCGCTCCATTTGCTTGCCAGAGGTAGCATGACCTCCATTAGGCACCGGGATACGATCCTCAGACCCCTTGTGAGACCATATGCTGGTGGGGCTGGCTCTAAGTTACTCCTTACGCAGGACAATGACTGGCCTATCCGTTCCCCAGACCGGAATCCAATCGACCACATCTGGAACATTACGCATCGATCCGTCCACAAACATCATGTTGTATCACAGGTTGTCCAGGAGTTGGTGGATGCTTAGTTTAGGTCTGGGTGGAGCCCCGTCAGGAGAACATTGGTCCCCTCATCAGGAGCATGCCCAGGTGTTTCAGGGAGGTCATACAGGAACATGAAGGCCACTCAAAATACTCATTTAGACCCGTTTTAAAGTACACTACATCAAAGCTGGATCAGCCTCTAGTGGGTTTTTTTTTGGGTGACTCCAAATCCAGGCCCTTTTATTCCCTTTTATTTTGAGCAGTGTATAAATATTTCAAATTGATGCATTTCTTTAAAAGAAAATTTTTTCTTCTTAATTAAATGCATCAAATCAACTATTTATTCATATTTTTTTTCTAGGGATGCACGATATTGAGATTTTGGCCGATATCCGATATACCGATATTTTAAAACTCATGTAGCCGATAACCGAAACGATATGGATAGCGATGTTAAAGCTGGAGAAAAATAAGTAATCATTGAAAATAGCAGTTTTGTTATCCATTTCTGACACTTTGAAAAATAATATACTCAAATATATTTTCATATGCTGATATCAAATAGATTTTTAAAAATGCGGTATCGATCTATTTTACTCTCAAAATCTCGTGAAATTTCATCGTTCTGTTACAAACTCTCGTGATATTTTGCAAATTTTGATATGTCGCCATATTTCATTAGTAAAAGAGATTGATATGGTGTTTTTAAATGGCAATATGTCAGCATATGAAGATATTGTGATATTTTAATGTATCAATATTTTTTCCCTCGTCTTTAGAAGTTTTTAAGTCTGTAAAAAAGAAGTTTTTGAGGAAGAAGAAGAAGTAGTATTTTTTTTTTTTTTTAGACTTTAGAAACTCAGAAGCTTATCAAATATCGGGTTAAATATCGGTGGGGTGGCCGATGTCCGACATTCAGTTTTAAGGCCGATACAGGCCGATACCGATAGGGGGCCGATTATATCGTGCATCCCTTTTTTTTTTTTTTTTATTTTGACCCAAACAAAAATCAGAGCTAATCAAGGAGAATTCTCTGACTGACCCACAGGTGCATCATTTAACTGTTTCTGTTACATTGTTGTATTTCAATCCATGGAGGAAAATCTGAGTCACATTATTTATATAATATATATAACAAAAGCAGCTCTCAAAGAAAGAAGAAGAAATGCCAAGAATGAGTCAGACCAACTTTTCTATTCAAAAGAACGTCTTTCAGCTGAAGCCACCATATCATCTGTCCCAGCTTCTTGAGTCACACAGACCTCCATTCCCACTGCCTGGGTAACAATCCTGAATACAGAGAATGAGAAAGCCTTAAACTGTTGGAGCATAGAAATGAGCTCAGTTGGCACTTCCTCAACATGGGGAACCAAAGCATGCCAAAATACCCCCTCCATCTCTTTCATTCCTTTGGAAAAGCACAGAGCTTTTCCAGGAAGTAAAGAAGAACTTCTTTTAACCAGAGTTGCTGTTTGAAAGCCAATGCCGGTTGCTTTGTTAATGCAGATGGGAAAATGTCCGAGATGCAAGAAGGGATCTTTTGTGGTAGTTTTAACTATTTCTTTGTTGTTATTAGAAGTTAGTATTAATGTTTAAGATAATAGGAACAAGTAGCAGGATTCTACAACTTTGTTTTTTTTTTTATAAAATAAGAAAGAAAAACACTTCCAGATGAGTCAGGAGGACAGTGAACTGTCACCACAGCTTCTATCACAAACTCAAATAAATTCATGTGCAGATCTGTCCTACCAAAGTAATAGAACAAGTGCTGCAGAGTCTGTATGGCAAGCTGATACAGACTAGGGGTGTTATTGAAGCCGTTACGGGGTCTCTTACTTTCCCACCTCCAGAAAATCAATACAGCTCTCCTTATTGAGTGTCCGTTGCAGAAGCCCCCTCAGGGGAGATGACCACCAACGAGATGGAGAAAAATGGTCTGTGTGGCATGTTTTCTGCACACTGCCTTAGAGCAGAAAAACAATGCAAAAACAATCAGTCATTTTTGTGAATCTGCAGACAAGCTCTTCTGAAATACTGTTAAGCAACAGAGAAAGGTGTCTCTGATGGTCGGGTTGAGTTAGTTAGAGAATATGGATGAATAACCTGCTCCTTAATAGAGTAAAAGTCATCTTGCAAGTTCCCGTACCCGTAAAGACGATAAATGGTTACAATATAAATGGTTTCTCTAGAGGCAGACTTACTATTCACTTATGAAAGTATGAGTTTGTAGCGAAAAGGCTGCTGCACTCTAGTTTACATTATATAATGTACAATACTACCCACTTCTTCAGACAAGTGGTCCACAGAGCTGTGGCTGTTGGGTGCTCGGCTCGCAGTGCTGTCTTCAAAAGATCTTCTTTTATGCTCTGATCTTGACTTTGTGACCCGAATTTAACCAAAAATATGTTTATCTTAGTGTGAGCAAAAAAGATTTATAATTATATTAAGGTTATGTATCTTTGTTAGAAGTACAATTACTCATATCATTATACAAACATTCAACAGTGTTACAGTGCAGGCCTAAATGTATTTATTGTAAATAATATATTAACACTATGATAAGGAAAACAATGAATATATACTCGGATAAGGAAATAAATTGAAAAAATAAAGAATTATATCTATATATCTATCTATATATCTATCTATATCTATATCTATATATATCTATCTATATCTATATCTATATATATCTATCTATATCTATATCTATATCTATATCTATATCTATATATCTCTATATCTCTATATCTCTATATCTATATCTATCTATCTATATATATATATATATATATATATATATATATATATAGTGCTTTGAAGGTTATGTTTAAAGTCCAACATATTAGATCTACGAAAAAGAAAACCACACAATAAGACCCGCATCCCGTATTGACTTCAGCTACTATTTAAGGCCAGTCAGGCTGCTTTCTTCTGTTTTGTCAATAGGAGAAAAGAAGCTGACTCATGAGCTCCAACAGATGCTGCTACAGTATTATGACTGACTTTTACGCCTTCTGCCTGACTTCCCTTGACCCTCTGGCTATCTGTGTTTCTGTTGCCAAAGGGAAAACTAACCATGTTTCCATAACACCGCTGCTAAAATGCACCATTGATCCAAGGTCAGACCAAACACGCACATACAGCCAAGAGTCATCAAGAAAACAGCATTAGAAAAGTCCTGCTAGTTTTTTTTTTTTACAGCTAAATGTGCACATTTTATTACTTTTTTTTTAGACATAAATAACCTGTTCCGTGCCCTTACACTAGATCAAAGCATCTGAAGTAAGAAATCGAAGGATTTTGATTGTTTTTTTGTTTTTTTTGTAGCCACCTTCTGCCTTTACAGATTTTCTAAAGGAGTTTGAATTTTCTGTAGCTTTTTTTTATGTGAAACCAACGTAAAGTGACAAATTAACCCCACTTATAAAAGATTAATAGTTAATAAGCCCAAAAAGAAAAAGAAACAACTAAACAGGCAGCTTCAGTGGATTAGTGGAAGAACGATAAACGTAGACATAACTATTAAGACCCTATATGCACTGTTGTATGTCTGTGGACATCTGCTCAGACTGGAGGATGACCTCGACAGACAATTGTAAAATAATACAATATAATTGGTTCATTCAGGTAAACCTGACAACAGTAAAACTAAATAGATTCAATTAAAATATTCCAGATGTCTGTAAAAAAAAATGTACGGTAAATAATGGGACTTGGTTACTTTGAATGCGGCAGTGCAGATTTGTCCAGAGGTTTTGATGAGGTGAAGGAATTAAATGAGATTATTTCAAAAACCAATTACGTTGGATCCTAAGCTTTTTCATCTTGTTTATCTAGAAAGAAAGAAAAAAAACTCAAATTTAATTAAAATAAGCAGATCTTTCTGAAAATGGTTCTGTTATGTAACAAAAGCATGTATTGCACATTCATCGTAATGTAAAATCTTCAACAACAAAGATTTACATTTGTTAGAATCCCAAGAAGAGCAATTATTGCACACAAAACACTTGTATGTAATGTTTTGGGGTTTCTAGCTGCAACTTTATCGTCCTTGCCAGTTTAATAAGTTGGTTTTAATTATTTTAGTTGTCTTGTTTACTTTTTATCAGTTACCAATTCTAGAACATTGTAAAATGTAACGATAAAAAACTCAAGAAAAACTATTTGGTGTACATAAATTCTCTGTTCACATTTTTGATTACAAAGAGAGTTAAAATGTAAACTACATAGAGGTATAAAACACCTTAATTACAATGTAATACATCTATTCAAAAGAGAAACCATATTATATCCCCCTAAGTAAAAAAATTATTTCTTTTCTAAGAGACCCAAAATGCACCCGTGTGTTGCACGCAGGCCAGCAAATCGCCAGCACTAATCCACTATGTCTAAGCAGATCCACTGGGGTCTTAGTCTGTGCAGAAACCGTGTCAGTACTCTAATCTCTTTTGATCTCTCCATTCACGATGTAAACCTCGCCACACGCTTCCTCATATTATTTATGAATTCATCAACAGACACTTAAAAGCCTCACTGCAGCACACCTCAAATACTTATTTGACCTGCAGATTACCGATCAGAGCCCATCAAGGGAAAATTGGCCTATTCCAATCTCTGAAGAATTGGTGCATCTAATCAACCTACATCCCTGTTTAAATTCTTCCATAACCACACACTGTATGCCAAAAGAAGGAGGCTTTGTACTGTAGAAAGTAAACTGGTCCTGACAAGGTCAGTGATTTTGTAGGGTTCTAATGAGGTTACAAAAACAACACACAAACATAGAGGAAGTCTGCCAAGACCCTGAAAAATGTGGCTTCTCTTTTCTATCCAAGCTCTGAAAGGAGTCTTTTATATAAACTTATGCTTGTAAAACAAATCCTTCAAACATCTGAAGGAGCGTATAGGAAGTCAAATGTGTTACATCTGTTCCAGTTCTTAACAAAAACCGTAATCATCTGCAAATGATGACCCAACAAATCTGTATGGAAGTCACTTTCTTCCACTCGATCAAAGCGTTGTCGCCCTAAAGGCAGCCCCATGTACATCGTCTGTGTGTCCAAATCAGAACTGACTTTCCATGACGCGGAGCCAGTTTGTGGCTTCATAAATCTGATCATTAATTTAAACAGCACATCTAGGCCTCGTGCACACTTTTACAGTTTGATGCTGTGTGACCGCGGCCTGATAACGAAAAGACACGAGCAGACAATTACTGTTGAATGCACATTTTTTTCACCAGTGTTTCATGCAGGGCAGATCGGAGTCGTTTTTCTTCTGCTATAACCTTTAAGAAGTTTTTTTTATCCCTTTAAAAACTACTTCCCATCAGCATAATAGGAGACTAAAATTATTTCAGAAATTCTAACCACCTCTGATGTTTGACTTTATCTTCTAAAACCTTTTAAACTCCTCCTCGCCTTTACACTGAGCAGCAGAATCCATAACAATAAAAGGCTAAAGAGAACTTGACGTTCCGGCTGAGAAGAAGAGTTCCACCCTCTGGATCAGATCCCACTTCCCCGGCGAGCTGCTTACGTCATTCCTCTGCAGTCACCCTGGCTCATGTGCTTTTCATCAACACCCATAACCACAGCCATCCCCAAAACATAGGCAGCCCAGTTAGAAACTGTAACAAACACCATTAATCAATGAATGTGACAACTAGATATGCAAGTAAGGAATGTCTTAACTAGTATCATATGAAAAGAATGAAAACAAAAGCAGATTCATTTGCTAATTCTTGCATCAGTTCTAATTGTGTAGCAGAATAAATTCTTACATCAGCCTTTGGGGATTATAGTTCAACGTACATTTGTCAAGCACCAAGAGTTTGACTTCAGATTTCACACTTAGTGGGATTAATTTCCCTCTGCAGCAAAACGAGGACATTTAAATGGACAGCAGCTCCTAAAAGTCTGCACACTGGTCCGGGCTCCCTCCCTCTAGCTTCAAAGCCGGGTTAAGGTCAAATCAGACCAGCAATCGTTCTATTCTACCCCTCTCTGCCCTCTCCACAACCTCCATCAACTATTTTGCATTGACCAAACTATCTGCATAGTTTATTCTTACCCAACATGCAATAGCATGCGGCTTTGGCCATCTGGTTTTGGTTTTCTGCAACTATGTGCAGTGACATCAGCAGAGGGGCAGAGGAGAAGGAAGTTGGAGGAAGAAAATGTTTGCAATCCAGCAGAAGTGAGACGGAGCTCCGTCCAATTAAGTGACCAGTTAAAACATTCCTGCCTCCCAGAGACGTCTATGGCTCGGTCCTACCGTTCTGCCTTTAGTGTCCAGATAAACTGGGACCACTTTGCAATACCAGCACCAAGGCAACTATTGTGCAGCATGAAGAGGCCTACAGGTTCAATTCAACATAGCCTTTCATAAGACCGATTAAACAGGAAACTGATGTCTTAAAGAGAGAAACAAACATTCATCTTGCATATAAAGATCCATTTGAACGTTGAATATAACTTGTTGGCAGTTAATACTAAAGTAAAAGGATTACAGAAGATTCTTACATAATAAAGAAAGTGCAACACTGCCCAATATAAAATATATCTAAAAATGTATAACAACTTTAAAAAAAAAAAGTTCTCCATTATAAGCTACAGTCAGCAATAGGTAGGACCTTCGCTGGCAGTAAAGCCACAATATACTTAATAAGCAGATTTGAAGCAATCAATGAGAGCAACAAGGGGGCGCCTTTACTGAAATCTAAATGAAATGATCAATCCCTTTAATGCTTATGATGGTGCATGTTGCCAAAGCGCAGCCCCTCAGCGTAGCAATGAGCACAGGAAGAAAACACGGCTGTAAAGTAAACACTGGCCAGTACCAATACATTATGGGGTCAATAAAATCTTGCTTTATGCTAAGGCTTAAGGGTAAAAAGGAAATAAAAACATTTATATATTAAAGAAGCGAGTTAAGTGGTACTTTTACTAAGTCAAAGTATTAAAATAAAAGGTACTTATGTTTAACTGCAACTAACATTTGCCACAAGAAATGACAGCAGTTAAAGCTTAAACATTAACGTCACCATTTAGAGCAGCTCCATCCTGGTTTTTAATCTTTATTTAAATTAAGCAAGTCTTACAACTATTGTGTTAATTAGTCATACCTTCCAATATTTGTGCAATCTAGCCTCTTTAAGCGATTAATTTCAATTATTTCAAAGGTATAAAGCAATAACTTACCTAGTGAATGGGCAGTTTTTTTAAAGTTTAATCACACAGTGCATGTACATATACAGAGTACTTATATTTCTCACTCTCTGTTGCAGAACTATAAGTACACCACTACACAAACCAGAAAGCAATATAATACACCCTGGCTCCTCTTTCCCAAGTGAATTCAGGAATTTTTGGCAGAGGACTTTAAAAAGGGTCCTCTTCGGGAGGGAAGGGATGTGGGATGGGAGTGAGTCATAGAAACATAAATGCACGCACACCAAGAAAAGAAATGTGTGGGAAGTGATCAGTAGTGTGTTACCACAGTCCAAACCATACACTTGTGGGTCCCAAGGCAAAAACATGGTATATAAAGAAGAGATAAAGAAAGAAATGTGCACGGGGTAATCGATAGGGGATGAATCACGGCAGGGGTTGGTGACCCCATGCTGCCTGATGAAGCTTTGGAAAACAGCTCTGAGCTGAAATCACAGAGAGTTCAGTCACTGAAAACAACAACAAGCCGTGCAAAAATTCACACACTTGGTTAAAATCCAGATTGTATCAATCTATTCTCTTCCTGTGCATGATCCAAATTGATAGGTTTGAGCATCAGAGCCATTTGAAATCCAAACTCTGGTTTTAGTGCAACATTTGAGCATAAAATGTCAAACAATTGAATTAAGTTGAATATGTGTCCTGTAGAGGAGCAACAGATCTTTAAGCAGAGTGCTCCACATGTGAAGACCTCTTCAGGCCTTTTTAAAGAGCCGGCACATCTGTCTACTGTTTGCCTTTCCAGGGCTGTAAAACCTGGAAAGTAGCAGGAGGGTGAACCGTAAGGGAGGAGAGGGAAGTCAATCTTGGACTTAGACTGTTTACACTCATAGTATCAAAAGAACCGGCAAGGAGATCCAAAGAAACATTCCAGAAAGTGTTTTTACCTTTTCATTAGCTGATATACCTAAGATGGCAGCAGAAAACATCATGTCGTTGTCATAGAGACTCAATGAACACAAGTACACAAAGTAAGCATGTTAAAGTTGTATTAAGCAATTTCTTGGACTTTGCTGTGGCTGCTAAGAAAACATTAAAAACCTCCTTGGTTCAGCTATTATTAGCACAGAAATATTCTTAGTGCTTGACAGCAGGTTCAACAGAAGTGCTGTACGTACGAATTTAACATCCTCTCACTAAGTTAGACTATTTTAAACAATGCTGACATACACATGTTCTCTCTAAGAGCTAAAATTAACAGCACTGATGCAGCTTTGTTGTCTAATCTTGTATAATCATTTACCATTTTTATTAGGACAAAAAAACGACACAAAAAAACTTGAGGACCACAGAGCCAAACCAGCTAAATCACTTCAGTAGGTTCAGATCCAAAAGTTAAAAAAAAAAGAACACAGCTTGGTAAACATTATGAAAGTAACATCCTTGGTTCTGACAGAGCTACAGATTTTCTGGCATCTATTGTGGCTCATGCTGATGACTCTACATGGGCATTTCTTCTGCCCCTCGGTAGGAAAGTTTGTTGGTATACATTGTATTGTATACATTGTTA